AAAAATTTTTTTTTTTAAATATTAACTCAAATATTGTTTTTTTGTAAATAACTATATTAGTAAAGAAATTTAAATTTAAGAAAGTTAATGAAGGAAAAAATTTAAATTTGCAGTATGTTACTCATCTAAAAAGTGATTTCACTTTCTTAAATCTATATTTATGCGTAKAACATATAAATTCATTAAATAAACCAACAGATTAACCTATTTTTTTTCTTTAACTTTCCCCATATGAATATATTAAATGAATATGAGTATTCTATATAAATATAAATAATTTATAGATTTTTTTAAATATACCATATGAATAAACAAATTGTTGAGATGTCTAGAGAGAATCTGAGAAAATTTTGCTTTCCATTTTTCAAATCGCCTTCTTTGTTCCTGTATTGCCTTTAATCGAACTAAAGCTGGATGAATTTGCGCATTCATAACTGCTTGTAATTCTTTTGCAGCCTCAATAGCATCTCTTAATCCAGTTKGTGTAGTTAAGTCAGCATCAGTTAATGATAATTGATGTTTTGGAGAAAGTTCTAATTGATGCTATTAATAAAATAAAAATTTACTTTCAAAAAGTATTCTAGATAAAAATATTTCATTAGTACTTACAATTACTTTTTGTAGTTCATTAAGTAATTTTTCATTATTTTTATTAGCTGTTTGAATATTAGCATTTTTCTGATCCATCTTATCAATTGTATCTCGCACATGTCTTAAGGTCTCATCATACATATCTAATGCTGATTCTACCTTTTCAATTTCTTGAATAGCTGTTTCTAATTGATCCATTAATTTTGTAACTTGCGGCTCTGAGGCAAGAACACTCTGTACATTCTCCTATTATTTATAACAATTACATTTTTCATGGTTAGGAAATATTTCATACAATAACATTTGTAATCCTAAGACAACCAAGTCTAGAGTAAAATATTTATCAAATATTRATGAAAAATTGCTTTGAAACAAATATTTATAAATTTATAAGTTTTTTGCCATTTAATAGCAGCTCACAAAAGTGATACAACTCAGATGTATTATGAAGGTAATTAATTACTTACACCATCTAGAGCCATTAATTGAGTCGCCAACATATCTGTAAATGCTTTAGCATCCTTAGCGGCAAATCCACATTCTTTCATTAATAATTCTAGATCTTGTTCTTCTTTTTCTGATAGAGGTTGAAAATCTTCAGCACTAATAATAGGCGATACAGCTAAATATTAAAAATGGAAATAAATTAGCCATACAGTTACAATATGCTTTAATTATAAAGCATACCTAAGGAAAGTTTTGATTTACGATCGGCAGGTAGAACAACTAAATCGCCAGATGTCCAGTCAAGAGGTAAATTTTTGAATTCAGGTGTTCTATCAAATACGTAGCTGGCACATTGCTAAAATAATAATTACACTTTTAAATGATTACTACTAAAATACATAACAAATCACATTTGTAATTTATTGTTCATTAGTTATGAATTTATGATATAAAATATCTAAATAAATAAATCATAATACCTTCCATAAAGATATTAAAAATATTTTACGCTCTTGATTATTAGTTGCTACCCATTTATATGGTTTATCCAAAGTTAATTCTATATCTAAACAATCCTATAAAAAATTCAAATGATAAATTTTATTTAAAAAAAATTAAAAATTAAATAAATGGAGTATGGTATTACTTGAGATGAAGTTTTGCCATCAACAGTAATCAATTCATTCAATGACCAAATTCTTTTTTTTTTCACAACTTTATTATCAAATTTTATCTGAAAATTATAAAATAAACTTGAAATGCATACATAAAACAATTTTATATTTCAATAAATTTATTTATCTGGTATAAGTTTTAATCAATCAATTCTGTTTTATTATTGTTATTCAAAAATTAAAACTTGGAACTACACTAAAAACACTTGATGTTTCCACAAAATATAGGTATATTTTATCATTTTTGAGAAAAATAAATTCAAAACCTAACCTAACCTAATCTTTGGACTCTTTGCTATTTWTATGCTATTTACTGTTTTATGAATGATTAATTGTTCAATTATTGAAATAACAAAAATTAGAAAATTAATAAACAGTTAAAAATATGTACAATTTTTAATTTAAGTATTTAAGATTTAATATTATTAAATAATATTTATGGATTTTTTTTAGTCAAAATAAGTTCAATCAAATTAATAGAAAAATAAAWTAGTTACTAATAACAATATAAATATGATATACTTGATGAAATTACTAGATAAAAAGACTGAAATATAATATTCTGCTCGGAATCGGATACAACGATTTATCAATGAATTCAAATTGTATTATTTAACATATTTATAATACTATTGAGTGATCTACTCCATAACAATGCATCATTTTGACAACTATTATACATCAAAGTGAGTTACCAATTTTTAATGTTTGACAAAATATATTATTAGTAAAATTTTATAGCAATAAGTAATTTGTTGAATACCTGGTGAATATAAATATTCGAAGGTGGTTCCTTGGTGTCTGATAGACACAGGTATCCAAATTTCTTTTTTTTTGAATCATTACTCACGCCGACAAACGCTAAAAGTTTTTGATCACATTGATCAAATATTTCTTGTTGTAATATCTGTCGAGCAGTAGCCATTGTAATATTTAATATCCAATGTATGATCTAAAAACTATAAACTTGTTTTTAAATTCATATTTAATCCACAAATTAACCAAAAACAACTTATATAAAAACTTATATTATAAATTGCATTGACTTATAACTTGTAACATATTTTATATTATTCTTTACACATTACAGACTACAGTATATTCACAAAATTGATAAGAATTCAACTTAGCAGTGGTAGGTATAATGATAAAAAATTGAATTCACTTAAAAAAGATTGATAAGAAATGCATAACGCCCCCAGAATATAAGTAGCAAGATTTTGCATTRAATGCAGGGAGCTTTCCCATATTTTTTTTTTAAATTTAAATTTAAAAGGTTTTTATAATGAAACTATTCAAGCTCTTATTTTTGGAATTTAGAATGTACTCAAACGCCATTTTTCAAATTGATGAATTTGTTTGTACTACTTAAGGAGTAGCCCTGTAACTTGAGGCGATACAAACTTCTATTTTTTAAATTAAAACCCTTTTTAATTCTTTTTTTWCTATAAATTATTTAGTCGATAATTTTAGTCAGTAGTTGCTAATAAGCTCTCCTAGCACCTCAAATTACAGAAATCAACATTTTAAATTTTTAACCAAATGAGCCATTGAGGGATTGTAGGTACAAAACTTAGCCCGATAACAAAAAAAATTTTTAAAACTAATGATTTGTTGTTTATAGGCTACATTAAAAAAAATCTATAATCATATAAAATTTTGTATTTGGGACAACAATACAGTTTTTAGGCTCATAGCCTAAAACTAAAATATCTGTACTAATGTATTTATTTCGGTGCACCGTAACTCCGCACGTATTGCCGCCATTTTATAATATATCACCTCAACT